GGGTGGCTCTGTAAAGGGATGGCGCCCTGATCAGCTGCAGGTGAAAATGCGCCCCTTTGGAGCTGCCTCCCGCTTTCTGCACCATCTCTAGACTCTTGAAGACTTTCAGCCACTCTTCCATCTAGGTCTCGGTGCCTCGAGGGCCCTGCAGCAAGCAAGGTGGCGTGGTCCCTGCTGTTCTAGGCTACAGCAGACAAAAGCCCGGTGATACCGTAGAGGAGCTGGCAGGTGCAGAGCTGCTTTGGGTGGGGGGTCAGGGAAGGCCTCTCAGCAGAGGAAGCCTGTGCACGGAGGCCTGGTAGAAGTGAAGGAGCAGCCACGTGGATGGACCGGGAAGAGCATTTCAGGCCGAGGGCCCCAGGAAAGTAAAAGCCCCATGGTGGGAGCCAATGACCCTGCTCAAAGGACAGAAGGGAGGCTGGGGTGGAGGCAGGAAAGAAGCCGGCAAACACCCAACCAGAAGAGAGGCCTTTTGTCTCTGTACCACAGGAGTCTTACAAAGGACCCGAACAGTGAGATCGGTTAGGAGATGACTCAGGTTATCCAGGTGGCACACCCCAGTCACCTGGCCCCAGGTGGGGCTGTGGAGGTGGTGAGAAATGGGATGCTGGAGATCTGTTGAAGGTCAAGTGGTTTCGGAAGGACTTGCTGTGGGATGGGGTTGGAGGAGGAGAGAGAGGGAGGGCAAGGATGGTCCCGAGGTTACTGACCTGAGCACCCAGGGAATGGTGTTGGGGTGAGCTGAGGTGAGTGAGGAAGACTGGGGGAGGGGCTGGTTGGGGGCAGAGGGGAGATCAGGGCTTTGGTTTGGGCCCTGTCAGACATCTGGGAATGTCTGACAGGCATTAGAGATCAGAGTTAGAGACAGTTAGAGATCAGAGTCTGGTATTTGAGGGGAGATTTGGCAGAAGATGTGGATTTAGGAGTTGTCCGTAATGGCGGCAGTTGAAGCCGGTGAGATCACCAGGGGAGGGTATGGCCACAGAAGCACAGGGCACACAGCTCCACTCGCCTAGAGGTCAGAGGAGAAGGAGCCTGCAAGACCTGGAGAATGGAAAGAGGCCCCAGGGAGAAGAGTAAGTGCAGCACAGCCTGCCTCTCCGCCTCCACCCCAGGCAACACCAAGCTTGTGGAAGTCCATGGAGCACACTCACGTTTCATGCAGCACGGCTCAGAGGCTGTGCCCTCCACTGACGGCTGGAGACATCCCAGAATGCTCAGCCACGCCTTCTTATACCCTCCCCAGCCCTCATCACCCAGCTTATCCTCCCATGCCTCACCCCCATGGTCTGTCTCTCTCGTACCCAAAAGAGGCCAGCACTGAACAGCACTCTCCCCTCCCTCCTGTAGATGCCCTGCCTTTGTTAATGCAACCTCAGCCAGAAGCAGCCTTTCTGACAGCATCAGAGATAGAAGATATGGCCAGGGGGCTGGACTTTGCAGCAGGGAAGTGCGATTGGGGGACATCTGAAAAAGGCTTTGGGTTAGATCCAGGAAGGTCTTGATTGTCACATCACCAGGAAGCATGAACTGAAAAAGGATGAGGGATCCATAGATGAGGCAAGCGACACCAAGGTGTTTTGCTTCCAGAAGAGCCATGCTGGGTTCTGTTCCTGGCCTTGTCCCTAATTGCATTACCTCTCCCAGGCTCACAGGTTAGCTCCTGCTCCAAGAGAAGCAGGGAGGAAGGTGGGGGGTAGGGCCCATTCTGTGAAGGTGGGGGTAGTGGCTGCAGACCCAGAGGCACCATGGGGCAGGGAAGGCTCCCAGCACGGCAGTAGCACTGTGTTTCCATGCGGGCAATGAGGCTTATATTAATGAGAGGTAATTATGGGCACCCGATAGGCCTAAGTATAGCTCAGAGACAAAGGCAATATAAGGCAGCCAGCTGGTTCCTGCTGTAAGACCGAGGCCTGCCTATTTTAAGACCTCCCCAAGGTGAGGCTCATGCCACCCTGGGGTGCTGAAGGGGCTGGTGCTCACTAGGCCAGGAACCCCAAGTGAGAGAGCTCAGATGAAGTCAGTGTGACTAGACCCTCAGCCCATCTCACTGAAACCCTCTGCTCCCAGAGGGGAAACTGAGGCTCGCACAGAAGAAGAGGCCAGTCCGAGGTCACAGCAAATGAATAACACAGCCAGGATCTGAATCCTGGTCCAACCCATGCACTCTCCACTCTACTGGGTAGCACCTCTAAACTGGAAGCCTTGGGTGAGAAAAGCCTGGCCAATCACCAAGCAGTAGGTTCCAGAAGCTTCCAGTGACATCGCAGCTAATGCTCCCCCAACCCCATCCCACAGCAAGTTCTTCCAAAACCACTTGACCTTCAACAGATCTCCAGCATCCCATTTCTCACCACCTCCACAGCCCCACCTGGGGCCAGGTGACCGGAGTGTGTCACCTGGACAACTTCAGTCACCTCCTAACCAATCTCACTGCTCGGGTTCTTTGCAAGACTCCTGTGGTACAGAGACAAAAGGCCACTCTTCTGGTTTGGGTGTTTGCTGGCTTCTTTCCTGCCTCCACCCCAGCCTCCCTTCTGTCCTTTGAGCAGGGCCATTGGCTCCTGCTTTCCTGGGGCCCTCAGCCTGAAATACTCTTCCTGGTCCATCCATGTGGCTGCTCCTTCACCTCTTCCAGGCTTCCGTGTACAGGCTTCCTCTGCCGGGAGGCCTTCCCTAACCCCCCATCCAAAGCAGCTCTACACCTGCCAGCTCCTGTGCTGCACGACCTGGGTTAAGTGGGTTGCCATCTAAGGTGCCCCTGTTGTTCTCTCCTAGTCCAAAGCAGAGTGAAGAAAATCAAAGATGCATGGAAACAGTTGGTCCAAAGGACTGATGGCTCATGAGAACCCCAGCCTCCACAACCCTAACACCAGAAGAACTAGATGGTGCCCGGCCACCATTGCCAACTGCTTGAAAGGGAGCACCGTAGTAGGTCATGGATAGAGTGGGAGAAAAATGTGGAACAAAACTCAACAAAAAGGTCAGGCCGAGATTTCTGGATGCCCTGATTCTTGGGCCCTAAGACACCCTTCAACTAGACACCCTGTGGCTTCACTTTCAGCCAAACAATAGATTGATCTACACGTTGAACAATCAACCATATGAGATCAAGAAGGCAGCATTTGCCCAGGGCTGGTGTAGTGGGTTACACGTTGGGCTGCCAACCATCAGGTCAAGAGTTCAAAACCTCCAGCCTCTCCTCAGGAGAAAGAAGAGGCTTTCTACTCCCACCAAGAGTTAGTCTTGGAAACCCGCAGGAGCAGGTCTACCCTGCCCTACAGGGTCGGCATGAGTTGGAATTGACTCAAGGGCAGTGAGTTCTTAAGGAGAAGGCTCAGGAGGTGGGGAAAGGATAGGAAAGGGGTGGGGATGGGATCGGTACACCGGGGGCTGAGTGGGAAGAGGGATATTGCACTTCCGGGGATTGCACTCAGTGTCATAAACTAAAACCTATATGAATTGTTGAATAGAAAACCAATTTACTGTATAGATACTCACCCAAATCACCAGTTAAAAGTTGGAGGGGAGAAAAGGGGTTCATTGGGAAGTCTGGAGAACCTCAGAGAGCAAGGGGAGCAGCCTGAGGTAAAGAGAGTGTTGAGCAACCATGCAGCCACAACCGCTAGCGCTCACTGCCACTGAGTCCATTCTGTCTCCGTGACCTGATAGACAGGGCATAACTGCTCCGCTGGGTGTCTGAGACCTCAGGGGAGTAGGTAGCCCCATCGTTCTCCCACGGGGCTGGCTGGTGGTTTGGAACTGCAGACCTTGCAGTTCACAGCCCAGCTTGTAACCACTGTGCCACCAGGGCTCCAAGCCACAGCACAAGTCTCAGCTAATCCCATGGGCGGCTCTGGAGCTGGGCTGGCTCTTCAGGGTTGTTCTGAACTGGGGCCAGGAGGCCACGCCTTTGTAACATCACATCCACTAGTTATTGGACACGGGCTGTCTCCAGGGGAGGAGCAGCACTTTGGAGGGGGCATCTCCCCCTGGCTCAGAGCAGTTCCTGGGCAGGACCTGGCTGTGAATACCAGCAGCCCGAGCTCTTGGGCCCTGAAGGCATCAGGTCCTGGGAACTGAACACTGAGGTGGGGGTAGGAGTTGCGGGTGGGCACTCACTATGGCCCCACACTGTTCTTTATTGCATTCGTCATTTCGCCCATTTAACGGGTACAGCCGGTGGTCTTCAGTCTATCCGTGGTGTTCTGGAACACGACCTAGTTCTAGAAAATTGCCATCATCCCAAAAGGAATCCCCACACCCATGAAGCAGTCCCTCGTGCCTCTCCCCTCCCCCCCCCCACCCCCAGGGACCACCTCTCTGCTTCTGGTCGGTGAGAATTTCCCTGTGCTGGACGCTTTATAGAGACGAAATCCTACAGTGTGCGTGTGGCCTTTGGGACCTGCCAGCTTTCATTTTACATAATATTCCAAGGTTCATCCACGTGACAGCCCTTCAGTTCTTTTTTTAATCACCCAATAATATTAGTTGTGTGGATACATCTCGTTTTCCATACCCAATCATCCGTTCATGGGCATTTGCACTCTTTGGCTATTGTGAACAACCTGCTATGACTGAGTTGGAGAGGTATCTGGACAGAGCTTGGGTGTGTAGGTGAGGGTGCCCTTACATCGAGTGGCAGAGTCAGAGAAAGGAAGGGATTGAGGTGGGCAGCTCCCCCTCTTCCCCGCCTCCCACACACCCCGCACCGCCATGTGCCAGCAAGGAATTCAGAAGAGACCAAGAATTCTGAGTTCAAGCCTGGTTTTCCAGGTAACTGTGGAGGTACACGTGCTCATCAAGGTAGCCGAGGGAAACATACTTCATTTCATAATTTGTCCATTTGATCTGAGACTTTGCAATATCTGAAGATATCATAGGGGTCCTTCATCGGTGCTCTGGCCCTGGGCCTCCAGGGTCAGGGACAGCCTAACTCTGAGATCTGCCCCCTCCTAGGACAGCCGACGGTCTGACCCTTGTCTGTATTCTCTCTCCAGGATAGCTGCTGCCCGGGAGAGGTGACCCGGGCGCCCTGCTAGGGCGACGGCCCCAGCCCCGAGGGAGGGCCGGGATCATGAAAGGCCTCGGTGACAGCCGCCCCCGCCACCTCTCTGACAGCCTGGACCCACCACATGAGCCCCTGTTCGCAGGGCCCGACCGCAACCCCTACCTGCTGTCGCCCACAGAGGCCTTCGCCCGAGAGGCTCGATTCCCGGGACAGAACACGCCACCTGGGGATGGCCTCTTCCCACTCAACAACCAGCTGCCCCCACCCAGCAGCACCTTCCCCCGCATCCACTACAACTCCCACTTCGAGGTGCCAGAGGAGAGCCCCTTCCCCAGCCACGCCCAGGCCACCAAGATCAACAGGCTGCCTGCCAACCTCCTGGACCAGTTTGAGAAGCAGCTGCCCATCCACCGGGATGGCTTCAGCACGCTCCAGTTCCCCCGAGGCGAGCCCAAGGCCCGTGGCGAGAGCCCCGGCCGCATCCGCCACCTGGTCCACTCGGTCCAGCGGCTCTTCTTCACCAAGGCCCCCTCCCTGGAGGGCACGGCAGGCAAGGTCGCTGGCAATGGCGGCAAGAAGGGCGTGCTGGAGGACAGCAAGGGCCGGAGGGCCAAGAGCAAGGATCGCGCCAAGGCGGGGGAGCCCAAACGGCGCAGCCGCTCCAACATCTCGGGCTGGTGGAGCTCCGACGACAACCTGGATGGCGAGGGCGGCCCCTTCCGCGGCAGCGGCCCCGCCTCCGGCCTGATGACCCTTGGCCGCCAGGCGGAGCGCACCCAGCCACGCTACTTCATGCACGCCTACAACACCATCAGCGGCCACATGCTCAAAGCCACCAAGAACACCACCAACGAGCTGACCGCCCCCCCACCCCCGCCCGTGCCCCCGGCCGCCTGCCCCACCCTGGGGGTGGGGACTGACACTAATTACGTCAAGCGGGGCTCCTGGTCCACTCTGACCCTCAGCCATGCCCATGAAGTCTGCCAGAAGACATCAGCCACCTTAGACAAGAGCCTGCTAAAGTCCAAGTCCTGCCACCAAGGGCTGGCCTACCATTACCTGCAGGTGAGTCTCTGTTGGGGGAGGAAGGGATACCAGATGGAAAGCCCAAGTGGGAACTTGCCCCGCTGTGGGCCTGTGTCCTGAGCTGTGACATGGGTGGCTGTATATCTGCTAATAAGGAACTTCCTTCCACTGGCCATGTTCTCAGGAAAGCCACTCCCAGCCATCAAGCTGATTCCTGTAGGTCAAAGTAAAACTACCCCCTGCGGGTTTCCAAGGCTCCCATAAGTCTTTACCGGAGCACAGAACCTCATCGTCTCCCAAGGACAAGCTGGACGTATGGCTTTGAACTGCTGGCTTTGTGGTTACCAGCCCAGTTTGTGACCCACTAGGGCTCTTCTGAGCCCAGTCGGGAGAGATGCTGTTGGGGCTGAAAGGTGTCCCTGCCCACAGGAGATAGACGTGGAAGCCCTGCCGTGCCAGGCTGGGCTGACTGTCAGCCTCATGCCTGGTCTACCTCCCCCACTGGATTCGGGGCTTCTTGAGGGTCTCCATTTATTCAGTCATCTGTCCCTAAGGCCCAGGACAGGGAACTATGAGAGGTGGCAGGACAGCATGGACAGATGGACAACAAAGTGAGAGAGTTAGAGATCTCTAAGACACCATCCTGGCTCTGAGGATGCTGGGAGGAGAAAGAGGCTGGAGCAGACCACGGTGTCAGTGTGATGGGGCCAGCCGCTTTCTGATGCTGGCCTCTGTTGAGGCACCAAGGCCACCGGATCCAAAGTGCCCGAAGGCTCAGAGAGGCATCGCCTTGCTACACACCTCTGCGGGGCTCTCAAGAGCAGAGCACGTCGCTGTGAGCAGGAGTTCCAGGAAGCCAATTCCAGGATGCCTTGGGATATGGAAGGATCTGCTTCTGTAGTAGTGAGCACCTTATGGGGGCAACGGGTGGGGGGGAGGGCCACAAGCAGGCCTGGGCAGCCTCAGAACCCCCAGTAGGCTGCCTTTTGAACCCAGTGAGCTTTAAGATTTGACAAGTTACTTGTCGTTCTATGAAGAATTCCAGAGACAGTGAGACTATAGGAGAGAAGGCCATTTTGTTGCTTTTTTGGTACTAGTGGGGAACTGAACCAGGCAGCATTTTCCACCATATTTAGGGCTTTTGTGGTTCTCAGATCCTTTCCTTCATTTAGCAACATCGGGGGGGGGGGGGGGGGGGGGGGGGGGGGGGGGGGGGGGGGGGGGGGGGGGGGGGGGGGGGGGGGGGGGGGGGGGGGGGGTGGGGGGGGGGGTGATGTGTGACCTGAGTCCCTCTCAAAATGGTGTGCATGGTCTGATGGGGAAAATGCCCAGAAACACAGTGAGCAGACAGCCCTGGAGGTGTGCATCGCCTGCTCAGCTATCAGGACAAGGCCATGTTATCAAGGGACAGCTGAGGTGACAGGGAAGAAGTAGAAGCCACAGGCCCTAATGATGAGCTGTTGCCCAGGCGGAACTGTGATTTTAAGCACTGGAATGCTAACCAAAGGCTGATGCTAACCAAAGCTTCAGGAACTATAAGGAACAGCTTCACTTTGTCCTGTAGGGTCGCTGTGAGTTGGAATCCACTCAGTAGCTGACAGTGAGTAATGATTGCCTGGCCAGTCTACTGGGGTTTCTGGGAGGGCTGAGGGCGTGGTCTCGGAGATAGAAGCATCAGGAAGGGTACAGCACCTATATACCTGTGGGACGAGCCGTGCGTATGTGTGGGTGGTGAAGCGTGTGTACCTGGGTGCCCATGAAGAATGTATACACCTAGCAAGAGGTGGGCACTCTGTAGGCATTGAGGCAAGAACACAGTGAGGTGGGGTCATGTCATATGTGTCCCCATGCAGTGGTTGTGGGTGTGTGTGAGGAGGGGTGTGACTGTAGGCGGGGTGTGACTGCAAGGAAGGTGTGACTGTGAGCTCCATGACACACTGAAGGGTGTGCATGAGGGGGTTTCCACCGTTGGTGGGAAGTCCCATTATCTTTTCATTCTGTTTTCCGTGAGTGTTTCAGAGCCCCTTGTCCATGGTGAAGCGGCTGCCAGTGTGTGTGTCCTTGGCATGCCGTGAGTGCTTGCTGAGGGCGTGCGGGAAGGGGATGCCGGCTCAGTGTGCTGAGGCACGTTCCCTCTGACTGATGCTCGTGTCACTGCTGAAATAGGTGGTGACTGCATCTGGAGGGGTATACACCACAGAGTCCAGGGGAGGAGGGTGTAGCTGGGGCGCTGCCTCCCAGCATCCAACAGAGTTTGGTTGGGGAGGGCTGGGGGGGCCTCACAGCCATCATCACCTAGAGGACATGGAGACGAGGGACCCCAGGCCCCTTGCTAAGGAGCCTTCGTGGCGTAGGGGTTACAAGTTGGGCTGGTAACCATGAGGTCAGCAGTCCAAAGCCACCACCTGCTCCACAGGGTTTTCTACTCCCATAAAGGGTCTTAGCCTTGGACTCTCACAGGGACACTTCTACCCTGTCGCGGAGCCCACATCACCTCCATGGCACATCACTCAAAGTTGAGTTGAAAGTACCTGCTGTCCTTACAGCGGTGACCCCATCACAGCCCCATTCAGGGTTCAGATGAGGGACCACCCCTTTCTATCTCACCCAGGGCTTGCCTGACACCAGGCTTGGTACACTTGTGCCGTGAGGAATGTAGTAAGCCCCACAGACCACCCAGTGCCCCGTCGATGTGTGGATCCTGGGAGCATACCAACCCTGCAGCCTCATATGTCAGGCTGCTTCCAGCAGGCCTGCGCAGGGGTACCTGCTCAGGGATTCTTAGCACCCCCTGAGAGTGTGGATACACCGAGGGGAACACAGCTCTGGAAGGGCAATCTCAGTGGACCCCGCTGCCTTCATAGCTCGGGCTCCATGGTGAACTCTGAGGGGTTGGGGGAACAGGGGGAGGGACTTGCTTAAGGCCACTCAGGGAGGTTGTGGAGAGGCAGCGCCAGTGCCCAGGTCGCCTCCTTCCCAGCCCAGGGCTCTGTTTTGCTGCTGGGGGTTCGAAGCTGGGGAGCAGGGGCCTTCAGGTTTCAGAGCTGTGGGGGGGGGGGCCCCCGCACCCTGGGCGCTCTGCGGTGAGGAGCCGAGGCCCGGCGACCAGCAGGGAATGCCCGCTGCCCCACCCCACGCCCACCCCGTGTCCCCCTCGCTGAGTCCCATGCTCCATCCTCAGGTGCCGGGCGGCGGCGAGTGGAGCACCGCACTGCTGTCCCCTCGCGAGGCGGATGCCACCGCCGAGGGCCCCATCCCGTGCCGGCGCATGCGCAGCGGTAGCTACATCAAGGCCATGGGCGACGAGGACAGTGATGAGTCCGGCGGCAGCCCCAAGCCCTCACCCAAAACGGCTGCGAGGCGTCAGAGCTACCTGAGGGCCACGCAGCAGTCACTGGGAGAGCAGAGCAACCCCCGCAGGTGAGCGCGAAGCCCCGCCCCGGCCCCGCCCACAAGCTGTCTGCCCCCAGGAAAGCGCCTTTGTCGAAGTCCAGCCAAGGAGAATCCCTAGCTTAGGCCAGTCCCGGGGATGAGCCCGTCCCACCAGCAAGCCCTGCCCACTTGCGAGTCCTGCCCCCTAGCGGGACCGCCCCCTCATCCCCTCCCCAATGAGAAACTCTGGCCTTTGGAGCCCCGCCCCTTCAAGTGAGCCCCGCCCACACGTGAGCTCTGCACGTGCAAGCATTGCCCACACAAGCCTGGTCTCTTAGGTGAGTGCCTCCCAGGTATGCCCCGCTCCTGGGCGACTCAACTGTGGTGAGTGGTGAGCCGCGCCGCTCCGAGCCCTGCCCTCCTGCTTCAGCTCCAGGGCCCTCCGCAGCCCGCTCACAGCCGGCTCACAGCCCTGGAGATCCTTGCCCTCAAGGTGGCCCCTTCACTTGATTAATTAACCGCAGAGGCCTCTGCCCTTTGGCGAATCACCCATGTCCCCCACCCCCACCCCCAATACACAGACACTTAAGTCCTGACCCCTATCCTTTGGTAAGCCATGCCCATAAAGAGAGTCTGCCTGGTGGCTGATCCAGCAAAATGCCCCCCACAGGGCCACATCCCCCCCCCCCCCCCGTGAGTTCCTTTATCAGCAAGGAGCTGGCCCCTGGGGACCCTCCTCTCCAGGCTAGGAAAGCCCTGCCCTTAGTGAGCCCATCACACTGCCCAGCATTGCCCAGGGACACCAGAGCCTTGTCTAACTGATGCCCACGCTGGGCTCCGAGATTGTTCCAGAAATCAGACAGACAGCCCATCACCTTCTGCCTTCTGCCCCCAACCTGTTGCTTTGAGATTTGGAAGAATTAGCAGCAACAGAGTTTATTGCTAGTTCTTCAATTAGCACTGAGCAGGGAGCGGGCAGTGTGGTCAGAACAAAAGTGTAGTTGGCTGGTGTAGTGGGCAGTGGAAGGGGTGGGACCCCAGTGGCCAGTCCTGGGTCTGTCCCTCTATAAGCCTCAGTATCCCCATTTTAAGGAAGGGGGCTGAGCTGTTTGACCTTTAAGACTCCTTCTAATCCTGAGAGCCTAGGATTCTGTGGTGACCAGAGCATATCCCTTGAATGACCAAAAAAAAAAAAAAAATCCAAACTCACTGACATTGAGTTGGGGCCAACTCAGAGCAACCCTAAAGGACAGGGTAGAACTGCCCCATTGGGTTTCCAAGACTATAACTCTCTTCAGGAGTAGAAAGTCTCCTCGTTTCCTGCAGGGCTGCTGGTGGTTTACAGTTAGCAGCCCAACTCATAACCACTACAGCATCCGAGCTCCTTCCTTGAGTAACAGGACACCAATAGTAACAGTAGCAGCTGTATGAGTACCCGCTACTGTGTATTAGCATTTGCTGCACCTTGATCAGCATCACTGATGCCTCTCCACAGCCCCATCAGGCAGGTGGTGCCATCCTGTTGTACAGGTGAGGAAACAGGCTTAGCCAGGGGTCACAGCTTGTCAGGATCACCCAGCAAGGGAGCTGGATTCCAATTCATTCTCTTTGTGCCTGAGCTGTTGGCTGCCTGAGCTTTAGCCCCAGAGAATCGGCTGGGGAAAGCTCGCGGCAGGAGGGGTTAGAGAGATGCAGGAAGCTGGGCATGGGGAGAGGGGTGAATCTTCCGGGACCTGCTTCTTCAGGGACCTGATAAGAGTCCATCTGTGCATGATGGCAAAACTGAGGCTCTTTGGGCAGCCCTAGGCTGAGGCCAAGATAGACGACCTCTGGGATTGCCTCAGATGGGCAGAGAAGACTAACCAAACCTATTGTCCTCAAGTCAGTCGCGACTCACAGCAACGCCATTGAGCAGCGTAGACCTGCCCCAGAGGGTTTCCCAGGTGGTAGTCTTTATGGAAGCCAACCGCCTCATCTTTGCCACAGGAAGCAGCTGGTAGGTTTGAATGGCTGGCCTTTTTGACAAGCAGCTTAATTATGGTACCACGGGGCCCTTTCTGGAAGAAGACCTGGAGGCTGCAAAAACCCAGCTGGGCTGGGTTTGGGCTTGGATGGTCAAATGCGAGCTGGTGCTGCCATCTTGTGGCTGCATCCGGCATGGAAGGCAAGAGTGGCCTCCAGCCGTCAGTCTTTTTACTGACCTGGCCTCCTGAAGCCGGGCGCTCTCTTGTTCTTCACCCCACTGCTCTCTGGGCAGGCAGTGGCTTCCCTTTGACCCTCTGCTACCGGATGACTTTGGCCAGTCTTACCCACTCTAGGCCTCAGTTTCTCAGGCTGAACACTGGGTGGGCTGAGCCCCGTCTGCTCCCCACTCCCCCATCCCCACCAGGAGTCTGGACCGCCTGGATTCAGTGGACATGCTTCTGCCCTCCAAGTGCCCAAGCTGGGAGGAGGACTACAACCCCATCAGCGACAGCCTCAACGACGCCAGCTGCATCAGCCAGGTGAGGGTGGTGGGCTTCGGAGGGCCCGAGCCTCTGCCCCTCAGCTCGCTGACTCCCACCCTAGAAAGGGACAGGCATCCAGGCCCCGTTGAGCAGCCCCCGGATGTTTGCCCTGTGCTTCCCTGTGGCCTTTGTCCCAAAGGCTGCTTGCCTGTGTCAGTCTGCCCCACCTGCTGTCCGTGTGGCTGCTGAGCCTGGTAGGCACAGCCTCTTGAACTGAGGGCCCTGAAGGAGCTGCCACCCCACCGAGGTTAGCCGGGCTGCGGCTGGAGGCCTCCAGGGCCTCGCTGCCCCTCCTTGTGTTCTGAGACCTGCGTTCAAGTCTCAGTCTTGTCTCTGACTGACCGTGCAGCCCAGGTTAGGGCTCCTCTGCTCCCTGAGCCTCGGTTTCCTGCTGTGCACCGGAGGGTGGCCATTCCTGTTCAGAGGGCTGTTGTGAGGGCCAGATGAGGGGAGGGACTTAAAGTGCTCGCTCGGCAGAGGGACGCTATTGCGACGGCCTCCTGTCTGCCTGCTGGGTGACAGCAGGATCCCACGGCCCTCCTCTTCAGTGAGGAAGCTGCACTCTCAGGGCCCAGCCACCTTGGCTACTAGGAGCCAGAGCACTGTGCTGCTCTTTGACATTCCAAACTATTCTCTTACCCCTCAGCTCCTTAAGCCATCCATATCGTTTACCTCCCCATCCCCCCCCAAGGAAAAAAATCCAACTGTACTGCCATGGAATCAATTCCAACGCAGAGGGGCCCTAGAGAGGGTTTCTGAGACTGTAGATCTCTCGGGGAGCAGACAGCCTCATCTTCCTCCACAGGATCAGCTGACGGGTTTGAACCACCAAACATGTAGTTAACAGCTCAACACCTTGCCCACCGGCACTCCCAGGAGGCCTTACTATGCACATTCCCCTTTTCAGACAGGAAACAGGGGCTCAAAGAGTTGGGGTCACACCCCTAGGGGAAGGCAGAGCTGGGCCGGTATAGGAGGTTGTCAGACCCTGGACCCGGACCCGGACCCCAGCTGTGTGCTCAGGATTTGAGGGCTTGCGAAGGGCAGATCCGCCAAGGCTCCAGGGTTCCATGATAGTAGGAGTGGGAGAGGAGGCCTGCAGCCTTCAGACACTGTGGGAGGGCCCCAGCCAGGCAGCAGGGTGTCCAGGTACAGACCAGCCTCCTCTGGGCAGGAGCAGACCTCAGGCCCCACAGGAAGGGGTGGGCCTGTCTCCTCCCCTCTCATAGTTCCCAACCCTTCCCAAGGGTTCTTCCCTCACCCCCAACCCTGGCACTGCCCTTCCCGGACTCCTGAGAGACTGACATCAGACGTGGGGAAGTGTAGAGCGCCCCAATCCACAGGACCCTCTGCTCTTACCACCTTCATTCAGGCCCCACCAAATCTCCCCTGGCCTCCATGCCTGTCACCTGCAGTCCGGGTCCCAGCAGCCAGAGGGGGCTTGTAAACAATGACATAGGTCCTGTCCCTCCACACCTTCCTTTGGCTCCCTTCTCAGCTAGCTGGACAGTCCGAGTCTGACTTAGACATTGAGGCCCTGTGGTCCAGGCCCCGCCTCCCTCTCAGGCCCCCTCTCCTCTGAGCTCCAGCCCTCGCCCCTCCATTCTGCCCCTCACCCCTCAACATGCCACCTTTTCCCTCCCGAAGGCTCGTGGTGTTTGCTGTTCCGTGGAGCAAGAGCCCTCTTCTCTCAAATCTTGGCGAGAGTCAAATGGCACTACTTTGGAGCCGCCTTCCCTCCTCGGCCTAAACTCGCTCCCACACACTGTTCCACTCCCTTGTGTCTGTTCTCTCTGAAATGATGCGTTTTCTTATTCACTCAATGGCTGTCTTCCTCCTAAGAGGCCGGGGACCTTGCTGTCCTACCCCCATGGTGCCCACAGCATCCGGCTCAGGCCTGATGTTTGCTGAACGGCCGTGCCCACCGTCTCCCCGCTTCTACCAGTCCTCTCCCCTTTCAGCCTGGCTGTCTCTTAGCCTCCCTCTGTGTTAAACTCCTCTCAGGCCCGTTGTTCTCTGAGTCTCACTAGTCTGTCTCCATCTCCTTGTTAACCTCTGTCTGTCCCTGACACATACCCCATCTCCTGGCAACGGGCACAGTTTTACCCTTTGAGGATACAAAGCTTGTGGAATCAGCCAGGTTTGGGGCCCCTACGGCTCTCTCCCACTGTCCTCTGCCCAGGGCTACTAACTCTGAGCCCAAATCCTCTGGCCCTCAGACCCCCGTACTCACAAGCTTGTGCTAACCTGAGCTGTGTATGTGGTCGCCAAAGTTGGAGATGGCCCATCTTGGGCTGTGTCCCCTGAAGAGGGAGCCCTTGCCCTGCCAGTCACTGGGCGATGGCTCTGGGCTCCTTCCCTAATCAATAGATCCTGGTGAGCTGCAACAGATGGGGCAGCCATGGCCCCGGGAGCAGGCCAAGAGAAGGACTTGTATGGCAGCATGGAAGTTTTTAACTAGGCCCTGACCCAGGAGAAAGCCAAGTGAGACATCCTACTACTTGGGCCTTACCCAGTCGGTCCCTGGTTTTCTGGTTGCCCAGCCTGAATGCTGCATTCTAACTCCCAACCCTGGACTCCCCATAACCCTCCCCCCTCTCTTTCCTGCAGATGTTTGGACAGGCCTCCCTGATCCCCCAATTGTTTGGCCATGAGCAGCAGGTCAGTATGTTTGCCATTCTCTCATACCCCATGCCCAGAGTCCACAGCCAGGTCTTCTGCTTGCGATCTAAGTGGTCCCAGATCCCTGCCCTCCTCCCACAGGCAGGTGCAAACAGTCACCACCAGGAGAGCCACCACCAATTCGGAGAGTGGAGTTGGGGTCCACATCGGTCCCCTGAGCTGCCCATCCTGATCTGAATCACTTGACTTCTTTGTGCCCCTGTTTCCTCGTAAAGATGGGAATCAGCATGCTGGGCTCTGTGCATGGGGCCAGAAGTAACTCAAGTTAATGGAAGGCGCTCCTGAGAGCCTTCGACTCCATCCTCCCCTCCCCCCAAACCCGAGTCAGCCCTGAGAAGGGTTTTATTGGGATGGGCTAGGGCTAGGGGCTGCTGCTATTGACCTCCCACCCCCACTCACCTTCAAGTCCCCTGACAATTCTCCCTTCGTGGATCCCAGTAGGTGTTTAGGGTCTTCGAGTGTTGGAGTGAATGTGCAGAGTGTTTTGCAAAAGTGGGTACCAGCCCTGGCAGTGTCTGGCTGCTCTGAAGATGCTCCTCCCAGACTCCAGACCCAAGACCAGAGAGTGGGACAGGTAGCCTGGAGGGGGCAAGGGGCTTGTCCAAGGCCCTCTGTCCTGCACATCTCCTGATCCCACCCACAGGTGCCCCTGTCCTCACTCCTCTGGAACAGGGCATTCCAGAAGGTCTTTGGGGTAGCCCCAGTGGGCCAGGCAGTGGGGTCTGTTCCCCTTTCTGAGCCCCTCGAAGGGCAGAACAAGACTCAGGTCAACAGGCTTGGGGCGAGAACCACGTGTCTGTACAGAAAGCCCCGGGCCCATGCCCCGCCCCCACAGCATGTCCACCGTGACACTCACACAGCAGCCCTGGCCAGCTCAGCCCCCACGTATCAAATGCAGGGAGAGCTTCCTCTCCCAGACATGGTGCTAAGCGCTATTTTCTCCTGAGAGCAACTCTATGAAATTAGGACTATAATTAGCCCCACTTTATAGGTTGGGAAACTGAGACACAGAGAAATTAAGTGGTTTTCCCAAGTTCATATTATGAAGAAGGCAGCCTGGCTCCACAGCCGTCAGTAACTTGCCACTCACAGAGGCTTGAATGGGTACCTGATCACACTGAGAGAGTGGCCTCTTCTCTAGTCTCCCACGCCAGGCCGTGCCACATGGCCCCCATGTCAGTGCCTGAGCAGGGCTGTCCAGTAGAACATCCTGCTGGGCTGGACACCTCCTGCTATCTCCGTGGTTCACTTAGATAGCCATTAGGCTTACATGGCTGTTGAGCAAGTGAAATATGGCTAGAGAGACTCTCCCCAAACCACACCTGTTGCCAACTCACTGAGGCCCAAGAAGACAAAGTGGAACTGCCCCAGAGGGTTGCCAAGTCTGTAAATCGGTATAAAAACACTTCCTCGTCTTTCTCCTCTGGAGTGGCTTGTGCCCTTGACCGTCTGCCCTGTGTGGTGAGTAGTGGGGCACCTAACCCTGGACCATCAGGACTCCTGGGGCAACGACAGTAGCCACTAGCCCCAGGTGGCTCTTTCGGGTCAAATTCATTTGATCTTAGCCAAAAGGCCGAGAAGCGATTTTCAGGTCAAATTCATTGAAATAAAGGAAAATTAAAAATTCAGTTACACATCTTAATGAATTTAAACCTAAAGGGCCACCTGTCGCCATGGCTACTACATTGGACAGCACAGACTTAGACCTTTCCGAGCATGCCCTCTACATCAGTGGCCATTCATCTTTTCTTTGGATCTGATACTGCCCCTAGCAAAGACACAGACCTTCCATGTCAACTACCAGAGGAAAACCTTACCCCAAGAGGACAGTGATGGCCTGATTTCACAGGTCCCCAGGCCCAGCTTCCATCTTTTGCCCCATATGATCCTCAGTCTAGCCCTGGACTTCCCCTCGCACCTTCACCCAGTGCCCATCCTTGGTCAGCTGACTCCCCCGGTGTTATACTCTGTGGTACTCCATTACCAACATGGCCTGATGCATGGGTCAGACAGACCTTTCCAAAACTCTTGGAGAGGATATCTTATAAAGGGGTAAAACAGAGTAGCAGTGCCATAAACTTGAAGGATCCCAAACGGTCATCTCTAGAGCGGCACTTAGAAACCCTCTAGCTGCAGTTGAACTACTAGACGCAAGATGAGAATTAGCACACCTGCCACCCTTCTAAATCTTGCCTGTGGCAGACATCACTAATCAATCCTCACTGCCACTATCATCATTCCAACCTTACCTTCTCTCATTGGACGGTTGTGTGTGCATCATCTCTGACCTATTTCTATTTCACAACAGAGCCCCCAGCTCCCATATCTGTCCTGCGCACCAGGTCTGGGCGAATCATTCTTAAATACACATTTGGAGTGTTGGTTCTGGCACTTACTCAAGCCTCTGGCAAGAGTCTTCCCCTCACTGATCTGCTGTTCGTTGGCCTATAAAACGAAGAGACTGGATGGCAAAGACCCAGCCCACCTGTTGTCCCCCTCACTCTAATATTACTCATTGATTATATCCTTTCCTGTCGAACTCAGATGTGACCTCCAAGTCTACTATCGTTGACTAGTGTGGACACACAAGATATCATCTAGTTAACCAAAAACACCAAACTGCTACTGAGTCAGTTCTGACTCATAGTGGCCCTCTGGGACAGGGCAGAACTGCCCCTGGGGGGTTCCAAGACGAACTCTTTGCAGGAGTAGAAAGCCTTGCCTTGTTTCCTGCAGAGTCGCTGGTGGGTTTGAACTGCTAACCTTATAGTTAGCAGCCTACTGCATACCCACGACTCCACCTGGGCTCCTATACCTGATTAGCATCCTACAACTTTCTACAGTTACAGTCATCCTCCTCTTTAAAGATGGGCAGATTCAAACCTGGAGACGTGAAATGACTTATGAGCTCTCTCTGCCCATCCCCTGCCTTGAGTGGGATGGAGGGAGGGATGGGAAGTGAGGTTTCATGGCTATCCACTCCTGAGCCCCTATTCCCACACGGGCCAGAGCTGGCCCCTGATACCTGCCTTTGCCGGGACAGGTACGGGAGGCAGATCTGAGCGACCAATATGAGGCAGCCTGCGAGTCGGCCTGCAGCGAAGCCGAGTCCACAGCAGCAGAGGCCCTCGACTTGCAGCTGCCCAGCTACTTCCGCTCCCGCAGCCACAGCTACCTGCGGGCCATCCAGGCGGGCTGCTCGCAGGAGGAGGACAGTGTCTCCCTGCAGTCCCTCTCCCCACCGCCCAGCACTGGCAGCCTCAGCAACAGCCGCACGCTTCCAAGTGAGTCCCACCATGGGAGGAGGGTTTCTTCCAGGGGACCTGAGAGGAGTGCTGGGGAGAAGTCAGGTGGGGTGCCCGGGACTGGGACTGGAGGGATGGCTGGAAACCTCTGGGCTGAACAGCAGACCTGTGACAGACCTGTGGTGAGGGATGGACCTTCTGCCATACTTGGTAACCCCTCCCATCCAGCCCCCTGAGCTGGTCCAGGGCCTGGGCTTGGAGCAGCCACCTGTTGGTGGGCAGACCTTACTGGAACTCCATTACCTGTTTGGAGAATTCGGGTAGACAAGCCCTTAGGAAAGGGCAGAACCTGGAGGTGGGTGGGGCCTGTGGCTGGTGAGTAGGAGGAGCCTGCAGGGTGGGCAGGGCCTGAAGGAGGAGCCCTGCATCTGCACTGAGCTCTCTACAAGGGCTGAGTTTTCAGGTTTGCACCACAATCCATCATAGGAGAGAACTTAACCTTTCTGTCTTCTTCCTCTAAATCCCCTAGAAATAGTCCTGGCTGATCAGAGAAGGGGGGGATCCTGAGCCTGAATGAAATCATAAAACAAAATCAAGGCCAAGGAAAAACATAGGGGGGTTGGGGTTTATGCTCACTAGGCAATTCTCCTTGGCCTGTTTTTCCCTCTATAAACGTAGGGGTCAACCAGACCCCGGAGAGCTCTAGGAGATGATATAAGACCATGCGGGGGTGGGGGTTGCACCGGGCCTTGCACATGGTAGCAACTTAACAAGAGATTGTTGTAATGACTGGTTCTCAGACTTGACTGCACTTCCTTACAGCCAGAGCCCATTGGGGTTGAACTGTGGGAGGAAGAGGGTCAGCCGTTTCCAGAGCTCAACTGGTGTCTGGTGAAATAAATAGACAGATGAACGTGAACCCACAGAGAGTCTGTACCCAGGCAGCCAGCTTATTGTCTGAACTAACTGATTTGGCAGGGGGCGGAGCCAGAGGAGGGAAAAGCAAACACTTCTTGTCTTTTTTTTTTTTTTAAAACACACTTATTTTCACTCTTGCTTTTTAAATCCACTCTGCTCTTCCTGCGCCAGACTGAATTATGATGGCGAGAGCCCCATCAGGCCTCTGTGCGACCCTGGCCTTGTGTTTTCAGGAAGCCCTTTAGACCAGTGGAGAGGCCCTGTTCGATGCTGCCGGATTGTCTTTCGAGTGTTCATATTGGGTCCTGCAACCTCACTCCTAATGACGCAGACTGGTCATGTACAAGGGAGCGTCAAAAAACTCGTGGGAAATTTTCGTTCTCTTTCCATTCCATTTCCCACCGATATTTTGAAGTCCTCTCGCACCCCTGGGCCTACTTGTGTTGTTTGTTGTGCGCCCCATAGCAACCCTTCAGGACGGAGTGGGACTGCCCCTAGGACTTCCTTGCCTCCCATCTTTAGAGGAGCAGGTTGCCAGGTCTTTTCTCCGCTGTGCAGCAGGGTGGGTTCAAACCTCTGACCTTGAAGTTCAGAGTCGAGTGCTTAGCCATTGTACCACCAAGGCTCCTTGGACCTACTTAGAGCTAGATAGGAAAGTGATGCCGGTAGGCCTACGTATGATAGGAAAACAATGTCCAGGCACACGCAGAGCGGTGTTTTCATGGCACCATCCCCGTCCTGTGTGCATGTGCCTGCACTCGTGCTTGGATAGTGTGTGTCTCTTCCAAGGCTCGTGCCTCTGCCACATTTGTGAGCAAATTAGGACTCCAGCAGATTGGAACCGCCAAAGAGACATTTGTCATCTGAAGGCCCTGGGGGGGAGGGGGTCCTCCAGCGCCACCCTGGCCAGGCCTGCTTCCAGGTGTCCTCAGAGACCGCTGCACCCTTGCTCCTTGCTCCTCAAACCTCTGGTTCTCTGGGGCTCAGCAGGTGGGAGTCCCCTGCCTCATGGATCTGCAGGCCTGCACCCCACACTGCAGCTGGGCCGTGCCCAGTGCACTCATTTGTGCCGAGTTAGGGAAGCGCACCCTCCTGAAGACACTTAACTGCCACCTGTTAAAAACTGTCAGCGTGCACAGCTTTTCTGCGAAAAGACCCTGGACTGCCATCTGCCAGAAAATTGATGCAATACTGATCTGATTCCGTTAGGTCTGTGGTGAACAGCACCCCCACCTCCTTATACTTGACATCCTTTATCCGTGTCAGACGTGTACAACTAGTCATGGTGGTCCTGTCTGGGGCCACCTCCCCACCTCCCTCCGCTCAGACACCCCCCCCCACACACACACACACACATATACACACACAGGTCTGCCCTCACTCAGCCACTGTCCTCCGGCAGGGACACCTCCTGCAGCGTCTGCCCCCCACTGTCTATTCTGAGCCCCTAGTTGCTGAGGAGCCTGGAAACTCTTTGCTGCTCCCACACAAGCACATGTGCACTCCTGCTGTGAAGCGGGTGGGCAGACAGGCATGTGGGATGTTATTGAGGCAGTGGGAGCCTGGCAGGGGCAGGGCTGCTCAGAGGGGCCACGGGCAGGGCACGGAACTGCCCAGTCACCCACACAGAGCTGGCCAGCTTCCCTGCTGCCAGCTCCTCCTCCCTCCCTTACTCCCTCCCTCCTTTCTGACCCAGATTCCGCATTCCAGAAATAGCTCTGGCAGGTGACTGGCAGGCAGGGGGCAGCTCGATCTGGAAGGGGAAGGGAGGCAGCAGCTTGGTTGCGCGTACACACACACACACACACACACACACACACACACACACCCGCATCTCCCATCTCCCCGATCCAGGCCTGGGACCTACCCGAGGGAGGCCCCCAGGAGGGGCAGCAGGCGCCCCCTCACCTCTCCACCTGCCCTTCATCCTGCATCTCTGCTCTCTGCCTCAGGGAAAGAAAGAGCAAGCGCAGAGGCCACCCTCCCACGCCTTTCTGTCCCTCTGCCCAGCACACATTAGCCCTGCCCTTCCACTCTCTCCTCCTTGCCAGCCCTTCCTCCCAGCTTCCCACCCTCCTGCCCTCTCTCCCCTGCCTCCTTGGCCTTCTCTCTGTCTCCTTCCATCTTCTGTCTCTCCCTCCATCACACTTTCCCCTGTTTCTGGCCCTCCCCTCTGCCTGCCCTCCCTCCCTCCCTCCCACTCTCTCTCTCTGAATCACAACAGAGACTGCACATCACCCATGGGCTCACCACCCATGGTGGTGGGGGTGGTAGTGAGCAGTGGGCTGCTGGGTGGCACCCCCACACCTGCCAGCTGCATTCTCTGCCCCTGTGGATGTGTGTGCACACGTAAACACAGGTACTCATGTGAGGTCACTCTAAGGCAGTGGGCAGAGCTGGGGTAGATTCTAGGCCTGGGAAATTCCCTTGCTGCCCTTTTCTGGGCCTCACATTCTCCATAGATATTTAAGGACTTGGGTGTGGGGACCCTTGAGCACATCTCTCTGTGACCATTCAAGACCCTCCCAGTGCGCTGCTCCTCCCTTCCTTGACTTCTTCCCCCACTCCCAGAGTTTTCTTGGTTGCTTCTTGGATCCACCAATAGACCCAGCAAGGGAAGCTGACAAACCCCCACAAAGCAGGCACCCTCCAGCCACCCTTACCCCGAAGCACCACCCTCCACTCAACCCATTCACTACCCAGAGGCGAAGAGGAGCTTCAGAGAACAATCTTTTCCAAAGAGGATGGGTAGATTCCAATCAACTCACCTGTCACCTCTGATCCCTGGAGCTCAGGACTGAGATGAAGTTAAGCAGAGAAGTGTACCACCATTGATTAGTGATGTCTGCAGTGGTGAGACTGTCATTCTTGATTTGGCCTAGTTCTTCCTAACATTCATATCTAGGCACAGACCCATGTGGACAATTCACACTCAAACACTAGAACTGAGGAAAGATGGATGCCTTGATCAAGGCCAGTGAACTGAGTTTCCCAGGTGGAGGGTCTGCCTGCCTCAAAGCCTTCCTTCAGTTCCGTTCTTCTCAAAGGGTGGGGGGTGGGGGGCCTGGGGAGGCAGTCTTCTGAGGTCCTGGAAAAGAGGTACAATATGGTCACAGAATCTCGAGGGAATCATTTAGCTAGATGGGCTGAAGGCCACTCAGAGGCTGGGTCCAGACAAGGGACAGGGGGATCTGGGCAAGAGATGTTGGCATCTGAGAAGAGTGGGAGGACCCAAGAGGCCTTCTCAGAGTGGGTGATGAGGAGCCGACGTCCCCGTCGGCCCATCTTGCTGGAACATGCTGTTCCTCCCTGAGCGTACTAACTAGAAGGCAAGCTTTCTCCGGAGCTCCACCAAGCCCTTGGCCCAAGACATCCCAGGTTCACTGAGCACTAACCATATTCTATTATCAAGTCATTGCCGACTCACGGGATCCCTAAAGGACAGGGTGGAACGAACTGCCTGTGGGTTTCCAAGATTCTAACTCTTCATGGGCATTGAAAGCCTCATCTTTCTCCCGCAGAACAGCTGGTGGTTTCAAACTGCTGACCTTGTGGTTAGCAGCCCACTGCATAACCCAGTACGCCCCACCAGGGCTCCTGACTGCCTATACACAGCTGACCAAAAAGCCTAACCCACTGCCAGGGGGTCGGTTCTAATTCATAGCTATCTTAGAGAGGGTTTCCTAGGCTGTAACTCTTTCCAGGTGCGCACAGCCTCATCTTTTTTTCTCGGGTGGGGTTAAACTGTTGTTGACCTTGAGGTTAGCTGTCCAACCTTAACCACCAGGGCTCCTTTGTATCCAGTTGGTGCTCCATAAACATCTCCTGGGACCCTAAAACCTTGCCATTGGCAGGAATCATTGAAATCCCCTAGGTCCAGGAGCCTCAAACTTGATAGAAGGCAAACGCTGAGCCTACCTGAGTTCAGGTCCAGGCATCTATCTGCATTGCAGCTCAAGTCAACCAAGGCCGCACTTTGAGAAACCCTGTGCAGGTGCAGGTTCTCTCTGCTGGGGGACAAATGGGACCTGAAGAGATGCAGAGGGAAGGGGGCCTCTCCAAGATCACAAAGTGAATGTTTGCATTTGGAGGCCTGGGGCTGGGACAATGAGGTCTCAAGC